AGAGAGAGAGAGAGAGAGGACCTGCTGCAGAGCAAGGTTACAATAATCAGAAGGCACTGTGAAACCTTTACATTTAGTGCCCTCTAGTGACTATATTGCATATAAACGAATATATTCATCTATGGTTTTAAAGGATAAAGGACGTCATGTGCTTGTAAAGATTGTAAAGCCATCCATTTGTGATTGAAAGTGATATAAACATATTTTTTATTGCAGATAGAAATGGTTACACAGTAATGAAAATCAATAAGATCGACTTGACAGTCGTATTTTAAACATTTAAATGGACTGTGGACTCCAGATTGCTGCCACTTTGCCTCAGGGATCAATGTTCAAATTGAGGGTGATAGCTCAAACATTTTGTTCCAGTAACACAAAAATTGTTTTGTTCAGGGTCCCCTTTAAAGAATAATGAGTGAAAGTCACTCTCTGGCTGCAGGCTGCCCTTCTAGGTTTAATTCTGGATAACAGATGCCATGCCATAAATTATTACTGCTGAAAATGCTGAAATGTTAAAAACAGTAGTACCACTTAACTTAATTGACCCTTTTTAAGTTGCATTTGACACCTCACCTCAATCTTAATGTGTTAAATGATTTCCTACTTACTCTTTTGTTGTTCCCATGTTGGTTCTGATGCCATGCAAACCAGACACATATGTGCTGGTCATGTCAGCGTCCCAAGCTGAACATAGACCCTGCAATATTAAATGTTTTAGTACTAAAGATCACTTGCTATAAATCTACAAACACTACTGAGTGGAAACCAGACTTGGTTATACAAATATTAGGAAAGCGAAGGTCACGTTAACCTCTTCCGCCCCAATCTCCCACTCACAGTACAGTCAGTACAAAGTCATGCTGTGCAGTCACATATTGTTCAAACCCAGAGAAGTAGAGATCCCATAGTTTGAAAAAACACCAAATAAATCGAGAATGTCAGGATGAATTTGTGGTAAATGTGAATAAAATGATACAAAAGATCATTTACCATTTAATGAAACTGTGCAGCAATAACAAAGAAGGCTTGGGTTTGAAATGAAATGAATCATGACATTACAAGATAACATACATCTTTGTGAATATGTTCCAATCTTAAAACACAATCAAATAAAACTGGATCCGAAGATATTCATCAATTCATTCATCAATCACATTCATCAGTTTAAAAGAATATACAAAAGTAAATTCAGAGATTTACCAAGAGACATACAATTAAAGAATACATCTATCAGAGTAACTCAAAGTATCCCAAAGTTACCCTGCCTAAGGAAGAACAAATATCATAGCTGACAATTCCATAATACAAAAACCATAAGTTATAGGCCTACTATACTTACCTTAGTAGGCCTTTAAAGCTGGCAAAATAAAAAACAATATCACTATATATCTGCTTTTATATGATGATCTTTATAATCTTCTTTTTCTAGTACAATGGTGTTTTAATTGTTGTAAAAGTGTTAGACTATTCTCAAGTGTGCATGAGTTGCAAACAGTCCGACCAGGCATGGATCATTTAGGTCACTCTGACCTCTTTACTCGCTCTCTCTCTCTCGAAAGCCACTTTTCTTATTCCCTGCGCTATCTCTCATGGGGAGGATCATTCATCACGGCTGCCAAAACAGCCCGGTCACCCCATGATTAGTGACTCTTTTAGGTCAGACATCTCAGTAGCACATACTAATTCAAACGGTTATGTGTGTCTGCTTCTGCATATGTACGTGCACAGATGAGGGAACGTTTGTGCATGTTTTAAACACTGTACATCATCCTGTAAGCAGCAGGCTATCAAACACAGGTCTCCAGTGTATTCTCATTTCTCAGGAACCACGTAGAAGCTCATCAGTTCTCTTCCGACCCCAACTGGTTTTGTGGATATCAGAACAGTGACTGACACCTGAAGTCGTCTGGTGGTGTACTCATCTGATCAAATGTTCACAGAGGGGAAAGGAGGATGCTAATGAGAGTTGCAGGTGTGTCTGTGTGTGTGTGTGTGTGTGTTGTGTGTGTTGTGTTGTGTCTGTGTGTGTGTGGTCTGGTGTGAGTGTGTTGTGGTGTCGTGTGTGTGTGTGTGTGTTTGTGTGTTGTGAGGGAGGTGAATAACGACAGGACATGTTCCTTCAGTTTAGGCAGATAAGACGCGCACTCACTTATCATGTTCCTTTACGAGACTGTGGAGGACTGGGTATAAACACATACAACACACACACACAAACTTGTCAGTAGTATCAATGCTAAGTCACATTTGATGTCCAAGGATGTCATTTTCATTTGAGCTTTGAAGGACATCAGAATTAATGATACATAAATGAGATGTTTTTTACATATACATAAATGAGATGTTTTTTTTGGCACAAACCCCACATTTTTGAAACCATAACATTACCTTTTTTATCTTTTTCAGCTTAGATTATTAGTAAATAAATCCCTTTCCTTCTGAGTTCTTCTTTGTTGGTTGTCAGTGTTATTGTTTCTACTTATAAATGGAAACGTAACAAATGCGGAGATGTTACATATACATTTATTCATTACATTACACATTATAGCTTTAAAGATCTTGGAGGTGAAGCCTCAATAAGAAACAAAGTTTACCTGTATAATAATCCCTTTATCTTTGTATTCAGCTTGAAGACCTTGAGAAAATCTTTCCACAAACACCTATAGGAAAAAGATTTGAGCATGAGTCGTCATACAACATGATTTAGGAAAACCAGAGGTGCAGCTGGTAATGCTTCATTTACCTTAGATGCAGCATAGAGTGTGTACAAGGGGAATGGAATAGTGGCAATTCCAGACGAAATATTCACAATCACCCCTTTTCCCCTGTAAAACCAGAAAACAATAGGGGGTCTTATGTCTCAATATTAATCAGTGTGTTATGATCTTATGGTATTACACATTACATCTAATGAAGAAAACATGGATAGCAAACCTGTTCTCCATGCCTGGAAGGATTATTTTGCACATCTGGAGAAAAAAGAAAATAAGTTCAGTTTTAAGGCAATTGTAAGAGTTGTCATTTGTCTGGGAAGAAGCTGCAGCAAATATAAACTCTTACCTTGGCCATAGTTTTTACATTGCAGTTTATCACCTTTGTAACGGTCTGAAATCATAAATAAACATGGGACCCAGGTAAGCTGTCTATACTGATAATTAAGGGAAAGGAAATTTTGAGTGGTTGGCTACAGTTAAGAATTTTAAAAGGGGGGCTTCTTCCTAAAAAGTTAGGCAAGTGAAACGTTTTATCTGTAAGACCCTCTGAGGAATGCAAATGGAAACAGTATATAAGTTAGTAATTAAATGTGTTAAATGTCCCTGTGGAGTTTTTGACCTCTAGTAGCGCTGTGGAGCTGTTTTTCTATGAGTGGATCCTTGTTTTGTTTATCTTGCGCACATGCATGAGGGTGCATACCAATGGTCTCGTGCTATGTCAATGATCTACAGGTGGTGGTTACATGCCAAGAAATGCAGCAATGAGCCTTGAAAGTCATGGAAGAAGAACACAGCAAGTAAATACATGTATGTGGATGTAAATAAAGCTGCATTTAAAATACCTAAAAACTTCCTTTGCAAATGTTTTATGAGAAAGGAAATTCATTCAACACGAGTTCGATGATGCACACAATGCCCTTTGGTGAGTAATACTGAATGTAAACATAGCTTTACAAAACTACACAGGGCACTGACCTGATCCAGCTCTGCACACTCTAGGAATTGGCAGGGGATGAAGTTGGGCAGAACACCTACATTGTTGACTGGGGTAGAGAAAAGAAGATTCAGTTTCAAATGGGGGAAGAAAATCAGCAATGACCCTTTTCTTGCTTTTGGTGTTTGTGGAAGCAATAGTAAAAGGTAGTTGAAAAAGTCCTACCTAAAACCCCAATGCTGAGGTCCCTAAGCTGCTCCTCAATTTCACTGAAGACATTTTCCTTTATGAAGTCTGTTGCTATCACTTTCACCTTCTGTCCTGTGGTATTGCCTATGAAGAATGAAAAATGTGGGATCAGCAATATACTGTAAATTATGTACTCTTGCAGATGATAAACAGCATATTTGTAGATGTAATCCAAGTTTAAAAGAAAACACAATAAAATAGGTCAATAGAAAGCAAGTTTTTACCAATCTCATTGGCCACCTGGTCCAATGTTTCTTTGGTTCTACTCATGATTACCACGTTCATTCCTTGCTCAGCCAGCTATGGGATGCAGTGGTGAACAGTCGGAGAAATTAAAAATGTACAAAGGTTAGGAGATGTACATCAAATAAGAAGCAAATATTTTAACCCGCATGATGAGCTGGGCAGGAAAGCGCTTCAAATAGTCTTTGTAGCAGGTGTTTTATCTTTGAAAATCCTTCATATTCTTCCATTTCAAGTACGGAAAGGTTTGTCATACATGCAAACACAAGCAATGTAATTTAAACAATCACTTACCCTAAATGCATATGCTCTTCCTATGCCTTCTGAAGCACCAGTCACCACTAAAACAAGGATGCAGGAATCGGTGTTATAAATGACTTCCATCAGTTGTCGTATTCTCTTGCAGTTTCCATTCTAAACACTAGGGGCACTGTGAATCAGAGCTGCACTACGCCATCTCTCTTCCTCTACCATCAGACAAGTCCCAGGATTGAGTTTGTTTGTATTTGTTTACAATATAACCAACCCATCCTTTTTTAACAGAATGTACTAACACAGCATGTTCCGCAGTTCTGAGAACAAATAGGAACTCCTTGTTTCTGAGTGTTCTTTACTCTCCCATCTCCTACTCATCCTACAAAGGTCACAGGATCTGTTAGTCACTATTTCCAGACATAAAGAGATGGGCATTAATATTTAACTAGAACTGGATTAAGTGGATGAGATGGGATGTGCTGGTTTGAGCTATTGTCAGCATGACAATAAGCCAAAGGACTGGTGACTGCAGCAATTTAGACTCAATTTAGAGTTTCTTTCTTTGTTTTTTTCCTCTGAAAAGCTAAAACATGATATGTTTCTCTTGGAGACAATGATTAGCTCTGGCACACTGGTCACTCCTCAATCATTTCTCAGAAAGCTATGTGAAACTTTATAACTCTGATTCTCTTTTTTTTTTATGATTAACATATTTTTATTTTTTTTTAACAACACGACAAAAACAACATTAATCCCCCC